CCTCTACCTTTTTAACATAATTCAAATCAAATACCTCAACTTTCCTAACCAGGTTATCAAAAGGCCTCCATTCATCTAAGGTGTCTCTCTCTATTATTTTTATCCACTGGAGCTAGTCCAACCTTTTCCCGTATATGCTCATTTTGTATCCAATCTCTAAAGGTCAAGCCACTCATCCACTTAAACATCCTCATCTCTGCAACACTTAACTTAGTATTATGCTTCTCTTTTATTGGCCAACATTTGGCACCATAAAAGCATTGTAGGTCTCACCACCATATTATATAATTTTCACTTAAGTTTGAGGGGGAATTTTCTATCACACAATAAGCCCAATATATTCCTCCACTTCAACCATCCAACTTGAATTCTATTGATAATATCCCCTTCAATTTCACCATCACTCTGAACAATAGATCTAAGATATTTAAAACATGTACTCTTATTAATGACTTGATCACCAAAAGTGACAATCCCCTCATTAGGTCTATTGCTAATAAAATTATACTCCATATATTCAGTTTAGATCTACTCAAGCAAAACCTTTAGACTCTAAAGTTGACCTCCATAATTCAAGTTTACATTCAACTCCCTCTTTAGTCTTATCAACGAGAAGAATATTATCAGTAAAAAGCATACATAAAGGTACATCCTCTTATAAATGTCTAGTGAGAACGACGATGACTAAAGCAAAAAGATATGGACTTAAAGCTGGTCCTTGATGTAATCTAACCAAAATAGGAAAATACTTGGTCAAACCACCTTGTGTTTGAACACAAGTAATAGCTTATGCATAAATATCTTTAATGATTTGAATATAAGCATTATTAACTCATTTATTTTCAAGAACTCACCATAGCACTTCTCTTGGAACTTTATCATATGATTTCTCTAAATAAATAAATATAAAATGTAGATCCTCCTTATTCTCTCTATATTTCTCCATCAAACCTCTCAATAAATGTATAGCTTCCATAGTAGCCCTACCCGGCATGAATCCAAATTGATTTTGAGAAACATTAGTATCACGCCACAACCTACGTTCCATTACTTTCTCCCATTGTTTTAAAGTATGATACAATAACTTAATTCCTCTATAATTTACACACTCCTATGCATCACCTATATTCTTAAAAATAAGAATTAACACACTCATTCTCCATTGATCTGACATCTTTTTAGCCTTTAAAATAATATTAAAAAGTTTAGTAAGCCAAGAAATTTCTTCATCTCTTAAGCATTTCCATATTTCTATTGGAATATCATTAGGTCAAACAGCTTTTCCACACTTCATTTTCTCTAAAGCCTCTCTAATTCCGATTTTACTTATACGCCGATAAAAACAAAAAATCTTTTATTTTTTATTTAGGGTAATAAAGTCACTAAAGTCAATTATATTTTCATATTCGTCATTAAAAAGTTTAGCAAAATACCTCATCCACCTTTATTAAATATCATCTTCTAAGAAAAGTACTTTTTGATCTTCATCCTTAGTACACTTCACTTGAACTAAATCCTTACTAATCATGTCTCTTTGTTTGGCTAACTTATACATATATCTTTCTCCCTCCTTAGTATATAATCTATTATATAAATCATTAAAACCAAAGCTATTTGCATAGCTTTCTTAGATTCCTTACAAGCCTTTTTATAGCTTTTCCAATTATCAAATAGCTCCAGTAGAAGATAAGATTAGAGAGAGTCGCCTTAGATGGTTTGGTCACATAAAACGGCGGCCTTCTGTTGACCCGGTTAGGAGAGAAAAGGTATTAGATTTGACTTATGTTAAGAAAGGTAGGGCTAGACCTAAAAAGACTTGGTTGGAAAATATTAGGAATGACCTTTCTTTATTAGATTTAAATGAGAATTTGACTTTTAATATGACACAATAGAGAAAAATGATTCATGTAGCCGACCCCACATAGTGGGATAAAGGCTTGATGTTGTTGTTGTTATTGTTGTTTTGTGATCTTATGTGTTATAAGATGATGACTTGATAATAACATTTTGTGTTTTTCTTCTTTTCTTCTTGTGTGAGCACTAGAGAGAAGGGAGAGAGAGCTCGAGGTGAGAGCAAGCGCAATACCCACCAATCGTTGGAAGAGTCCGTGGCTCGTGGTTTAATCTATGTTATTTTCTTTTCTTCTCTTTCCCATCCCAACCGCCGGCTCCTACTTCCCTTGCCACCACCGGCCATTCTCTCCCACCCAAATCCTCCCTATCTCCACCACCTCAAGCTCCCACCGATAGCCCAAGCCTTTCCCCCTTCCTCTCACCTAACGCCATCTCCCCCATTCACCATTATCGCCAGCCTTCCCCTTGGCTCCACCTCAATTATGATGATTTCAATTATCATAATTCCCTTCCTAAATTAACTTCGAGTAGAAAAGAAAAAATTAATCTTATTTGAAATTTGAAATTCAAATTTCAAATACTTTACTTATTTGCAAATCCTAATTAGGAAAGTGCATAAAATAAAGCCTATTTGAAATTCAAATTAGATTGGATTTCTTATTGTCTTTCCTAATTCCTATGAGTTGTTTTGGAAACTCTTAAATCCCTCCCCACAAACCTCCTCCACCTCTTAATGCTGCCAGCTCTCTTACTGGGATTCTCTCTTGTGTTTTCCTCTTTAAGCCCTCACCCCATTTGAATTTGAAATCAAAATTTCAAATTTAATTCCCTCCAAATCCACTTAAATTTGAATTAATTCCAGATTTTCTAAAACTCTCTCCCACCCTCTAACCTAACCTAATTCCCTCTCAACCACGGATTTGTCTTCGACGATCAAGGACGAACGGATATTCTTAGGTCCCCGTTCTTTGAGATGTACTTTAGCAACGACGATACTATTGACGGATACATCAACCTCATCTTATACCAACTAATATTATCGATTGAAAAGCATTTTTAATCGAGTCAGCTAGATAATCATCGGTCACCCACCGCCTCCTCCACCACCGGCTACTTCTCCATCAACAAAGCTCTTCGGCGTCATCTTCCTAGTGATAATATCCTTACTCGTACGGTTCATCTTTTTCAGCTAAACCCTAAGAGTGATTAAGTGAGATGGTACTCCAGGTGAACCTCTTGTTATTAAATGGTGGATTATGTTATGTGCATGTATCATTTACTATAGTCTTTAAATTTTAATTGGATTGTTTGATTAATTTCAAAAGTGTTTCTTTGACTAAGCAAGTTGAATACTTGGAATTCCTAATTTCTCTTTATTTGCAAGCAATAATTTTTTTATTAGCAAGTTTTAATCAATTATCTCTTTTTAATTTCTCAAGTAACTCATAGTAGTTTCATATCAAATTGTGGGGTAGAGAAAGAGAGTTTAAAAGCTGTTGGATCTCCCAAAAATGAAGGAGATAAAAGGTAAAAGAGGTGGTAGACCAAGCATCCAAAAGAATAGTAAATAGCTGATGGCCACATCAATTGCCACCAAAGGCCATCCTAGATAACTTATCAATACAAACAAAGGGTGTGGAGGAAAGCATATTTGGGCATTATCAACACTACCATTAAGACATTCCCAGACTAAAGCAAGCAGATAAAGCTGCCAAACCCTTTAGAGGAGATCTTTGACCAATCTGTTTGGCTCGCCCCCGCACGCGCGCGGGCTAAGTCCTTCCCTGCAACTATGCGTCAAAGTCTCTTTTCATCATTCTGTCCACAATAGAAAGTCATTCCTTCCTCAATATTTTACCCCATTACTCTTTCTCTCTCTACAGCTGAAGCATTGCATGGTTCGAGTACAAGTTGGATTGAAGACTTGAAATTGAAACAGCTTGTAATAAATAAAATGAAAGCTGACAAGGTGTTGTACCATAATGGATGCTTAAGGATGGAAGTGGAGAGAGGAGCTGAATATACACAATCTCATGTGCTGATCCGATGCAAATATACATCAGCAACTAACCAAAACGGGAATGTTAATAGGAACTTTAGAGAGAAGGTACCAACCCTGCGCATTATGAAACATTCAGAACCCAAAAGGACTGACAAAATTTCAGAAAAAAGAAGAACGAGAGACCAATAACAGGCATAGGGGCCAGATGATAGCAAAATCTTTTTTTTGGGACATTTAGGCCATTTAAGGCAAACTCACACACACAACGCATACACAAAAACTCGAACCCAAGACCTCTTAATTGGAAGGATAAGCTCTCAACCAACAAGCCAAGGTGAGCTGTGTAGATGATAGCAAAATCCATCAAGGCAAGTAGAGAAGCTTTCTACTGATAGCCAAGCATGAATCAACATATTATGTGTATTTCCACTAATCTTGAAAATTACCATATGATTAGGACTTTTTAATTGGATTTCATTGTGGAGATGAGGCTACTACTATCCCCTCCATCTGTAAATGAAAAATAATATCCCCCATCAGGGTTGAATTTCTAAGGAAATTAATAATAGGTAACGTCACTTGGGTTACTTGGATTGGAGAAAGGGCACCTGAATTTTTTTGGTAGTAAGCAGAGTAAGCCTGAATCAGTAAACAATATTTCTTTTTCGCTAATTCGTCCAAAAGAAGCTCAACCAAAAGGATCGTGAACCAAAAAGGAAAGAAGAAGGCTCAGATGATGACAATGAATCTATGACATAGAACAATTAGAGAAACTTCGCTATGCTTGACTTCCCATTGTATTGTCAACTGTGGTTGCCTGAGAAACTCCAGGCCATCTAGGAAACATAGTCAATATTCAGTCTGAGTTCTAAATCATCATCATCGTCATCTCAGTTTTTTACTCAAAGAAGAAATAATCACAACACACTACAAGTTATATTTGTGGTACAATTTTTTGCAGCTTCCATATATTCAGGCCTTCTAACTTTTATTGCATGATGAAAATGGGGCTATTGATAGGATTTCCATAAAATAAAATAAAAAAAGCAAAAATATTAAACCCTGTCAATGCAATTTCATTTTTCCTTTTCATGGCAATAGATTGTGATATGTATCAGCATACATAAAAATTACAATCGAGAAAAACAATTGAACTTATAAAGTAATTAATAAGAAGATTGTGCATCATTTAGTTTACAAGCAAGAAACTGACCACTTTTTCAATTACATATATAGATAGATAGAAACATAGAGAGAGAGTGTGTATTATTTACAAAAAATGCATTAGGGATCATCTGATACTGCATAAAGCATAGAGCTTGATAACAATTACAAACTACTTCCCTTTGATATGAATTGAATTTATAGAATACCTTCATATAAATTGCAACCAAAATATTAGGACCCAACAACAGTTCCTTGTTACCAGCAAAACCATTAATCCTTCTTCTCAAATATAAAACTCTCCAGGGCATCAACTCACACACACACACACAAAAACTAATTGCCTTTAAGGCAACATAAAGATAGCACCCAGGCGCCCCTGTCACTGTCAACAAATATAATTAGGCATCTTCTGACATTGCATTAAACATACAAAACTTCAGAACAATCACAAACTACTTCCCCTTGAAAACAAGTGCATTTATAGAATACATTCATAGGAATTATAAAGAAAACAAGAAGATCAACAGTTCCTTGTTACCAACAAAAATAAGAATCACAATCAGGTCAAGTGAAAGCCCCTATATCTCTCTTAATCTCACTATAAATTTAAAATATATGGTAATTTAACCTCTCTATACCTGTTTCTCTCCCTCCCATCTCTAAATGCTGTCATTTTTTTCCCTTATACAACTCCAACCAATATAAGAGAAAGAGAGAGGATATGTAATAACTTCAACCAAGTAGCAGACGTTATAAGCAGACCTAATAGTACCTGATCCATGATGTTTTAACTTTTTCATTTCTCACTGTTTTAACTGATCTACTCTCCCAAAGCTATCCTGCTTTAAGGTTAGCATAGACTAAGAAATACCCTTTCTCATGAGCTCATTAGTGTAAGGAGTCTAAAAAAGAAATATACAATGCAAAGATTTTATCTTTAATGATTTATATAATAGATTAAATATTAAGGAGGTGAAAGATAGAAGTATAAGTTAACCAAACAAAGAGATAGTAGTAATAAGAATTTAGTTAAAGTGAAGTGCATTAAAGATGACGACCAAAAAGTGGTTTTATTAGAAGAGTGATAGGAAATGGATGCGATTTCAGCAAAACCAAAGAACGACACAAGAAATTTAGGAAAAAGAACACAAGAACATTCTTTTTTTTTAATTGAAAAAAACTAAGAAGAAAAACATAAGATACAATTGGATCTTCAATTGGAGAGAAATATCCAACTCTCTCAAATCCCTAGCCATCGGCTAAAATTGACTCAACCTAAGAAAAAATAATTCCAGCAAAATCAAGTATAATCTGAAATCAACTCATAGTTAGCCTTAAATAGGCTCCGCTAATTCCCTCACAAAACAGCCCCCTTTCCAGAAATAATTCTCATTCAGATTTGAATTCAAATTAAATATCTTTAACTAATTAATTCCCTCCCAATTATAATTAAACATTTACTAAATAATTATTCATTGATTCCTCCTCACATAATGAATATCAACTCCCCGTGGCTTTTCCTAAATAATTACCTCTCATATATGAATTCAAATTAGATATCTTTTCATAATTAATTTCATCTCAATTGTAATTAAAATTTCCTAAACAATTCCCCCTATCTTCTTGCCGCTGACCACCCTAGTGGAGCCCACCAGCTCAATTTCCGCCCATCAAGGATATTCAACAAAGATGGATAAAATATGTTGCTAAACTTTTCAATGAACATTGTGAGAATAAAATTGATTTTAATAACCTTAGCATCCTAAATGAAAATAAAGATTTTTGTTTTTATCAACATAATAGTAAAACTAAAGTAAGAGAGGTTTAAAATAAAGGGAAATTTACATACATACCACTTTATAACATCCTATTTACATATCTAACACCCAAAATTTTAATATTACATGCATACCACCCTATATTATTTTAATATCAAATATATCACTTATATTTCTTTCCTACCACTCATATATTTCATTTCTACCACTCATATTTGATATGAAAATAAACTATGGGTGGTATATATGTAATATTAAAGTTTTAGGTGTTAAATATGTAAATAGAATAGTATTAGGTGGTATGTATGTAAATCTCCCTAAAATAAAATGAAGTGTCAAAAACTGTTGGACCTTATGATATTCCGATAAAGGTGTAGAAATGCTTAAGAGATGGAGGAATTTCTTGACATGCTAAATATTTTAATATTATTTTGAAGACTAAAATGATGAGAACATCCACCAGAGATTTTGACATAGACGACTACGATTCATAGTCTCTATTTATGATGTTTTAGTGCATTTCTTTTATTTATTTTTTAGTTTTCCGCTTGTGGGTACGTGAGGGATTTGTGACATGTTGTAGCCTGAGGGTATTTGTGTCTTTTACATTTTGTGCTTTGAGACCTATATATGAAGGCCTAGTCATTGTATTATTTTCTAATGATGATTATGAATGATAATTCCACTTTCTTGCTTGATCTCTTTGTGAGTTCTTGAGAGGAGAAACCCTAGGCGAGGGTGAGATCAATACCCGTCAACCTTGGTGGATTCTAAGGTTCGCGGTTCTTCGATTTCTTCGTTCTTTTAAATTTTTACACAAATCCCACTCAACCACCCATCGACCTCCTCTTCCTGTAGCCCCATCCTATCCCTAAACCGAGATCCCATTTCCCACGCAGCCGACCTCACTTGGCCGCCCCACCCGCCGGCCACCACCCTTCCAGCCGCTAGTCTCCAAAGCCCCATCCGCCCCTCTCCACAAAGCCAAACCGCCGGCTCTCCCCTGGCTCCCCAATTTTGAATTTCAAATTTTAAATTGCCTTTGATTACCTTCCTAAAATGCACCCTTGCTAATTAGGTAAGGATATTTATTTGAATTCAATAAACTTTTGAATTTCAAATACCTTCCTATTAGTAAAATCCCAATTAGGAAGCTATCCTAATTTTAATCAAATCTGAAATTGAAAATCAATTTTGATTTCAATCCAATTAATTCCCTTGGGCCCACATACATTTAATCTAGATATTCTCCCTCCATCCTCCTATGGCCGGTCCCTTCCCCTTGCTTTTCTCTCTCCAATTAAACCACAATCTCGTTTAATATTCCCTCAATCCCCTCCTAAAACCGCCGGCTCCCGCATAAGTTTAATTTGAATATTGTGAATTCAAATTAAGCTTCTTCCCCCCATTAGAAAAATCTAAAATTCAATTCAGAATTTTCTAAATTAATTCTCCCCCACTCTACCAATCCGAATCACCCCACTTCACCTTGCCCAAGCCGCCCCTCTCCTACACCCACCAACCCTCACCTTCCACTTGTTTTCTCTTGGCCGTCCCTCCCCTTAGCGGCTCCTCCAAAGTATATCACCAAGGTACTCCCATGTTCATGCATGGCCGATCCGGATGTTGATCACAAATTCGTTTACAATTCTTAAAAGAAAATCGACATCATTCAATCACCTCTCTGATCCCGGATTTGGATCCGAAGGCACCGTCGAGGAATACATGGATCACATTCTCTTTACTTTAGTGGACGTCATCGACGAGCAACAACCTACAAGACAGAGGAAGATCACCGAACGACCACCTGTCTCTCCGACTATGGCTAACTCTCCATTGATCAAAACCGTCGGCATCCTCTGTCTCTCAGTGGCATCACTTGGCTTGCTAACCTTCATCCTCCGCTAACCCCACTTCCAAAGAGCAATCGAAAGGGAAACTCTAAGGTGAAAGTTTTAATTGTTAAGTAACGGACTATCGTTAATCGCATATTTGTTTTATTATTTTATTGTCATTATTTCATATCGCTTTAGGGTTTATGGTTAAGTGACGGATTATCCAACAACCTAACGTGTAACCGCATGCTTGAAACAAGTCAATAACCACAAAAACTAAAGTCTTAACTTAGTGAAACATTAATCCTATAATTTCACTGCGAAAACAAGTTTCTGATTAAATCTTGCAATTCCATTGTTTCTTTCACATCATAAAAAGATTGCAAATGAGTGGAGAAATCATGTGCAGAAAATGGCTAAATTCTAAATTATCACCATCGTAGCCCTCAAATCTTTCACTCATAGAAGATATAATCACAGTAACTATATGTTTTTGGTGTACCGCTAATCTTAAAAATACTATCTGACTAGGGCTTTTTAATTGTATTTCAAAGCAGAGATGAGGCAATTGATAGGCTTTCTATCTGTAAATTGAAAACTTCATCCTCCATCCATGCAATTTAAATTTCCCTTTCATATAGACAGATTGTGAGAAATTTGTCCAACAAGCAAAAGAAATAGAATTGAAACATCTCTTAAATTTATATATAAAATGTATATATATATATATATATAATCGAAACCTGCTTCAGAAGAGAACGAGAGAGAGTAAAATATGGCTATTGAATTCAAACACTAATAAATAAATAATCAGCTTTCTAAAAGCCCTCCAGACTGAAGCATAAATAGGATTAATCATAACATCGGTTGCTTGAGAATTTTCAAGCCATCCTTGATGTTCACCATTGCAAAAAGAACATACGGAAACTTGGGTTGCAGAAGATCAGTCACTAGTTGGCAATCACCAGCTCGGTTCTACCAACAGATATCTCGATAATTAAATTATTGAGAAAAATATAAGTAACAGACAAGTTTTGACTTTTGAAAATAACTACCAGCCATCGATTGTAAAAATATGCCTCATTATTAGGATATTGCTCATGTACATATATATATGTATATATACACACACACATAGAGAGAGAGAGGGGGGGAGGTATGGATTCATATCCTCTTGAATTACCAAGGTTGTTACATGGTGCTTTTCTTTGGAGGACATTTAGGCCAATTAGAGAAAACTCACACACACATTATATACGCAAGACAACTCCAAAACTCCATGATAAAAAGGAAAAAAAAGCTTTCACGCTATCCTCACAGTTCAAGCCCTACAACAACAAAAAACTTCATCCCACTACATGGGGTCAACTACATGAATCCTACTTCTCCATTGTCTTCTATTAAAAGCCAAATCCTCATTTATATCTAATAAAAAAGTGATCATTTTAATTCTAACCAAATCTTTTTAGGCCTAATATAGACCGGAACTAATACATATACTCTCTTAACAGGGTCATCGGAATGACAATGTTTTATGGGACCAAACCATTTAAGACAACTCTCTATTTGTACCTGCCATTGGAGGTGCTGCAACATTTTCACATATATGCTCGTTACACATTCTGTCTCTAAATGTAAGGTCACTAATCCACCAGAGCATCCTCATCTCGGCAACACTTAATTTAATTGTATGCTTTAAATTTAATGGCTAACATTTTGGGTTATAAGGCATTGCAGGCCTCACCACAATCGTATAAAAGTATCTATTA